GCACCACAGGTAAGTCCAGCTTCATTTCTTCTTCGGTCTGAGAAAAATATTCCTCCGAGATGCGTGTAGCCCACTCAATGCACTGCTCCAAGGGCCGGCAGGGGTTGGACACTACCGCGCACGGGACATGTTCGCGCACTTGATCATCATCCCCTTGATCAGAGTCCCGTTCTCTGGAGACCGGAGCATCCTGTCTACGTCACGAGGGTTTGGCTCATTCCCCTCGCTTTCCTCCAGCTCTGCCAAGGGCTTGACGACGCTGTTGACAAACTTACTGATGTGCTCAAAGTGCCTGGTCATCTCCGTGGCCAACACCATGTCGATGATGCCCCGGCGCAGCGTCCGGTAGTCATTCCTCTCCACGTTCTTGAAGATGTTGCGCTTGTCCTCCTTGGCGGTCAGCTGGAAGGCCAGGGCCGCGTGGTGGCTCTCCAACACGGCACAGTCATTGAACAGCACGGCCAGCGGGCTGCCCGCGTTGCACAGGAAGAGGTTGGTCCTCCCCAGGTGGTCCAGGTCGTGGACAGCGGCTGCGATGAGGGCGGCGGCCTCGTCCACGGAGCCTAAGGCTTGCTTGATCCTCTCCTGGCAGAGGAAGTAGGCAGTGGCGTGCAGCACGTGGGCAGCGTGGGTGGAGTTGTGGTAGGGGTTGGAGGAGTGGTAGTGGGATTCCATCGTCTGCAGCCACAGCCGCAGCGACGTCTCCGAGCACTTCAAGAATTCACAGACCCCAAAGCCAGCGAAGATTTTGAGACCAAGAAAAGTCAAAGGCCTTTTCTGAGTGGCAATCTCCAGTTCAAAAACAAAGTCCCAGTCGTCATCGTTTTCCATGGCCTCAGCTATCTGCGGTGGGATAGCGTGAAGGGACTCGGAGGTGAGTCAGCTGCCCGAGACTTGATGCAGGTTTTTTGTGGAGAGAGCATACTCATTCCCAGATGGTCTTCGAAAACTGTCAGACATCAGGACCCCGATGAGGTCCTGGGTGTGAGGATCCTCTTCCTTCGCCCCGAACTGGGGTGAATACAGCTCTGAGGTTCTCAGAATTTCCAGGACGCGGTCTAAGGCTTCCGTCACAGGCAGGGAACTGTTCTCCTGGGCAGCACTGATCATATTGATCACCTTGGTGATGGGCGCCTCCATGGTCCTGGAGTGGATCCGGGCCGTGGAGGAGTGTCGCCTCTGGCTGGCCACTTCGCTTGCTCGTGAGGCAACACTCCTGACGTCCAGGGAGCTTTTCCTCTTGTCTTTATGTTTACCTGATGGATTATCTGTGGGAGTGTCAGAATGAACCGATTCCGTGATCTTCTCGGCCTTACTGTTGCCGTTGTTCACTCGGAGGATGGACACATAGTGTCTAATTTTTCCTCCCCGTCCAATGACAGGTATTATCTTCACATTTTGTGGTACATTATCTCGCGTTTTTGGCGTGGTAAACGCCTTGCCACTCCTTGCCCATCTTCATGCATGAGTTCATAGTACTAACTAAGTCAGCCTTTTTCTCATTTACAGGCATTTTTGCTAACTCCTTCCCTAATAATTCACCCGACTCATAGCCCACTGTTGTTTCAAATGCTGGATTTACATACTGGGGCGGGGGAGACAATAAAAAGAAAAAAAGTATCAAGTGAATTAAAAGAAATTTTGAAGAGTCCAATGAAGACAGACTTCCACCTAAGCCGGCACTTTCCCCCCACGCACAGGAGCCTGCGCTCACCATGGCGGCTCTGAAGCCGCGAGAACACCCCCACCTCCACCCCACCCCAGGACCCTGGAGTGTGGAGAGCTGCCCAGGTCACTGGCCAGGCTTCTCCCCTG